CTTAATCAAAGCAAGTGATATTCGTGTTGCTTTACGTAATATAAAGAAAGGAAAATCACCGGGACACGACGGTCTCAGCATTGAACACTTAAGATGTGCAGGCTTCCATGTACCTAGGATCCTTGCTTTACTATTTAACTTGTGTCTGGGACACTCATATTTACCGTATGATCTGATGAGAACGACTGTGGTACCAATACTTAAGAACAGGACGGGTGACGTGTCGGACAGGTCGAACTATAGACCTATCTCTCTCGCAACTATAGTGGCCAAGGTATTTGACAGTGTGCTCAATGTACATTTAAAAAAACACCTGCAATTGCACGACTCTCAGTTTGGGTTTCAATCAGGGTTGTCAACTGAAAGTGCTATTGCGACACTGAAGCATACTGTTGGATACTACATTAACAGGAAGACTATGCGTGCTTCTTGGACCTGTCGAAGGCCTTCGACTTGGTCTCCTATGACATCCTCTGGGATAAACTTTGTGCCGCAGGCATGCCTGTGGAGCTGACAAATGTTTTTAGGTATTGGTACCAAAATCAAACTAATGTTGTAAGGTGGGCTAACGCATTTTCTGAGCCATATACCTTGGAGTGTGGAGTTAGGCAGGGGGGATTGACATCACCTGATTTGTTCAATTTGTACATCAACGCACTGCTCGGTGAGCTCAGCAGCACGCATGTTGGCTGCTTTGTAGACGGAATTTGTTTAAATAATATTAGTTATGCCGATGACATCGTGTTGCTGGCGCCATCGATTAGTGCGTTGAGGAAACTTATTGGGGTGTGTGAATTGTACGCGGTTTCTCATGGCCTTGTATATAACGTAAAGAAATCCGAGTATATGATCTTTGGGGCGGCCGGTGGCAAGGATCCCAGGTGTACTATTCCAGTATTTTTAGGTGGATTGCCATTGAGGAGGGTTAGCCACTTCAAATACCTGGGGCACTATGTTACCGATCGCCTCAGGGATGATATGGATATTGAACGCGAGCGTAGAGCATTATCGGTAAGAGCAAACATGCTTGCCCGTAGATTCG